GTTATGGATTGGAATTCGGTAGCCAGCAGCAGCTTGGATCCCATCCAGCTTTTGATCTATAAATGCTAGCATGTCTGAGAAATAAATGTGGCCAGTGAGCAACGCTAACTACTTTGTCACAATCATGCTGTTTCTCATGAAATAACCTCCATGAGCCCATCGGGTTTACAATGAGCTTTCGTGGGAACTTTTTACTTTCAAAGTTTAAGCAGAGCATTCTTTAATCAGCACTCTTAATGCATATTTCAGAATCCTCATGAAAAATGAAGAAAAATCATTTACAAATAAGGTACTAAATTATTAGTAAAAGGCTTACGAATAATTTTTGAAAAAATATAATATATAAGAGAGTGGAAAAAAACGTGCTGCAAATTCCTATTAGAAAAATCGAAATTAAAAACATTTAAGCTAGTTTCATTGCGGCATAAAATAAAAATAAAAAATGTTTCTGATATTTGCCTTTTAACTTCTTCTCAATATCCTGTGGTAGTCAAAAATGTTATAGTACTTTTAATGGTATCTTTCCTCAATAGAAAGACTTCTGATTTTGAAATTTTTTTTATTTTTTCCACGCTTAAAATATTAATTTGCTGCTCCTTACGTGTATGTCACTATGTCAATCATTCTAATAATAATATATGTTGAAATCATTGCTTACAGAGCACTCTGTATTTAGAATTCGTCTAAATTTCTACTGCATTATCATCATGTAACTTTAAAATTCATTAAAAAAATAACACTGTGCCCATTTATTGGAATATATTAATTTATGGATTAAATCAATAAAAAATTAATATGGTAGGTCATTATAGCTTGATCGAGACTTCCATTTCGCTCAGAAAATAAAACTACTATTATGCATCTCGTGATATAAAGCGTTTAACAAGCAAGCAAAAAACATAAGTTTAAATACAACTTATAATAACAAAGAAAGAAAAATACACTTAATCATAAAATTGATAAAATAAAATTAATGTTTTTAGATAAATCATATGAAATGAAATTTCAAAAGTTTTCAAACATAGTGACAAATTCAAAATTTTTGAACTAAGATTTCTTTTTTAACCAGAGAAAAAAAATACTTGGTAGAATATTTTTTTCTTCTGGATTAATGAAAAAAATTACTCCCATGTACTGACGACACTTTGCGATAGTCTGACCCTTTTCTTAAAATATTGACGTTATATATGCACAACCCCTTACATCCTTTCCAAGACGTTAGTTGCCATTAGTGATCAAGACACCCCCGGGGCCACTGTTTTCCTAGGCGGAGCATTGACGAAAAAAAGCAGCCAATGGCGAATTCTTCCATGCGTGGAAAAATGCCATTTTAGACAATTGCCTGCCAATCCAACCAGACACGGTCATTTTAATAGAACTGAACTCGCCCGTTCGTCCACAATTATATAGCTTGCAGTGCAATCATAGAGGCCATTTTGGATATAAACTTCAGAATTTAATGAAATCACGCGATTCGAATATAGAATCTTTTTTCGAGTCCTTATTGTTCCATATTGCACCAGATATAAAAGTAAAAAATCATTTGTTGGCTAAAAAGTGTGAATGGAAAACATAATATGAAAATGATAAACTCGAATCATCATTTTTTATTTGATTAAAGAAAAAACCTCTTTAATAGATGAAAACATATGTTTTCCTTTATTTATTTATTTCTATTTTGATCTGGTCAAAAACATTTTTTTTTTTAAGTTTCAGAACTGCAATCCGAAAAAGAAAACACATGAAATTAACATAAATAAAATTTTAAAAAAAGTTTATTTAAAAAAGAATGTATTTCAACATAATATTTCAGCATAGATTTTTTTTATTTTAAATCATATCTTGATCAGAAATGAAAGTTACAAATTGAAAATAAGAGCGCAGTTTCAAAAATACTTAATCTATCAAATTATTTCAGAAATATTGCTCTTGATTGTTTTGAATTACAAAGTTTAAAATAAAATAAGACTTATAAAAACCTTTTTTGATTACATATTAGTTTTCAGCAAAAAATGCGATAACTTTTAAAGCAAATTTATTCATGCGTTACTTTGAAAAATTAAAATTATGGATACAATTTAATTTAAAAACTTATCGAAAAGAAATTTATGTATTAAAAAAAGAGTTAAATACGAAAATAAAGAGTTAAATTAAGAGTTAAGAGTAGAAAAATTAAGAATTAGAAATGTAAGTTTTAATTAATCAGAAGAGTTGCATTTATTCACTAAAATTAGTGATGAATTATTTTCAAAAAACTGTATTAACCATTCAACTTATATCATCATTAATTGATTTAAATCGATATCTTAAATTGAGTCAGTTTCATTTGTTTCATTAAGCGTCAAACAATGACATGATGTTGCTAAGGTTTATAGCACTTGAGCAAAATAATGCTCTTGCCGAAAATTCAAAATTATGTAACAATGAGACTTTTTTTTTCACTTCTGCTGATGTAAATATGTGAAAAAGTTTTCATTTTTTGAAACGGTGTAACATAATAGGAACATGTGCTTATGAGAAATTTTAATTCGCAATATAATAGGAACTAAAACTTACGCAATTAATTTTTTTTCAATGTTAGCAGCTTAGCTCTCCTCTCCCTCTCTCTCTCTCTCAAAAAAAAAAAAAAAAAAAAAAAAAANAAAAAAAAAAAAAAAAAAAGGAAAGAATTAGGTACTGGAAACATTAAACATATTTATACTTCAATAATCAGGAATTTTGCGATGCATGTAGCGAAGTATGGATGTATGTATTATTGAATGTATATTTCCCATAGCACTCCTTCTCTTTTTACATTACAAAGCTTAAAAAAAATAATAAGTTAACGAACGTAACTAAACTAGTTAATAAATTAAAGTGGATTATAATTCAAAGTATTAAAAATATTATAATTAATTAAAAGAAATAAGTTAAGAAATGGTATCTTTTAACATCATTCCTTATGTTATTAGCTATTTTTATTTTAGTATTTTTTAAAAAACTTTTTTAAATTTTCAGGTTTTGAACAATATCTAAATTATTTTAAGCAGCAGCAAGAAATGTAAAAAATAAATTGTTGAATGTTAATGATAAAAAATTTCATTATTTTTTAATAACATACATAATTTTTTTTCTCCTTCTGATGAATATCAAAGTGACAGGAATCGAACAATAACATAAACAAGATAAGATGTAAAAAGTAAGTTACTTTTTTTCTTTTTAAATATTACGACCTTATTTAAAATTTCAAAATTTTATTATTTTTTAACAAAGATAAACGTTAAAAAAAATACATGATCAGCATCAGTTATTACTTATTTTATTATTATTAATATTATCTTGGCTTTGATAATAGTTTAAATAAAACTCTTTCTAAATTATCAGACGTACATTCATAAATGGAATATTTTCCTTCAATGCTCGTTGGTTAATTTTCACTAGTTTCATCCTCATTATTCACAAAAAAGCTACTTACTATTTTCGGACTAGGTCCCCTTTGACCCAATAATCTTGCACTGACCTCTCTAAGCCCGCCTTCCCATGAATAACAAGTGAACCCCAACTTCAGTTGGTGCCTGTAATTCTAATCTTTTGACAGGTGCTTGCTTAGAAAGCAATCAATGCAATCTGGACAATTCCCGATTCCGTGGAAGTCATGGTGAGGAAAAAAAGGTAAGTAAAATATTCCAAACAACATTTTCTAAATTTATAATTTAATTGCATTTTGATTGATAAGGTTGCATTAATTTGACTTCCACCCCATGATCTTCATATTCTGAATTGCATTTAATTGCATGTATTTCCGAAACAAGATAATGACACCTTTTGGCTTTAATATTTTAGTGATCTCATTCATTCTATATTCTAAAGAAGACTGTTCAATAGCAAATTAGAAATAACGATTTCAATATAAAACTTTTAACGGATTAAAAAGAATTCTTAAATCTTTACTAATTTTACCCATTTTATTTTCATATTTTTTATTTCGTTTCCCAAGTCAAAAGGATGAAAATTATGTACATAAAATATTCTTCAAAAAATATTTTTTCGTTCATAAAATTTTTGCTTAAAAATGACTGGCATAAATTTCATTCTTGTGATTATGATTAGCTTTCATACTTATGGCCCTTACTCGTCGCATTCTGTTGAGCTTGATAATACAATGAATTTTAGAACATAACTACAATAAATGATAAAATGTACTTAAAATATGATGTTTAGAAAACGCATTTTCTTTAAGAAATCTGCTATAAGTATATGGTGGGCTTACATTAAAATTAACTCTTATTGAGTGTTATTGTTTAGGGAAAATAAATTTAAAAAAATGCATAATAGTTTTCGAATTTATTTGAATACTATTCCTAAGATGAAAACATCACTCTTGATAAAAAGTTAATGCTTTTGTTTTAATCTTGGTCTAGATTAAATATTTCATTTGTATATAAATATTATGTAACATGAAAGTGTAAAAAGGAAACTAATCTTTAAAATACAGAAAAATAGCTCGTATTAAAATACAAAACATAATTTAGTGAAAGTTAGTGAAAAAACATTAACTTACTTGGGAAAAAATACTTATGTTAAAAAAAAAAGTTCAACTAAGTACATAGTTTTTAAAAAATATGTGCTTAATGATGATGGCATTAATAATACGTGACGTGAAAATAAACATACGTGAATTTTCTAGATAAAAATACTTGTCTCATAATCAATTGCACTTAGCTATATAATAGAGAGCTAATAAAGATTTAAAAAAATACATTAATAAAAATATTACAAATGAATGCTAGTAAAAATAATCATTGATGAAATATTCATTCAAAATTCTTGCCTGGTAACTTCAGAAAATATAATAGCTAAACACTAAAACAATTATCATTGAAAAAATCATCACCGCAGTAATAATGTATCAAAATTCTGAAATATAAGGCAATTTCAAGAAATTTAGTATTAAAAATATAAAAAATAAATTACAGGAAAGATTGGCATTAACAATGTTCATAAATATTGATATAATATACCTGATAGCTCCAAAAAGTATAAGACATATATTACATGCGAAACATAACCGGACTTTTCTCTTTCATATCTATGAAACCCTTATTTTAGCTTTAGATTCTACCTATAAAATTAAAAGAAATGATTAACGAAAAACACATTCTTTCAAAAAGCAACATCGATTATCTTTACGGTTGTTTGGAAATAAATAATGTTAGTAATAAAAATGACCAATAAAAGTTTTGAAAACCTATTCTTGGTGTTAAATTTTATAGTATTGATTACTTTAATGAAATGTTAAAACTTAAGAATTTTCTTCAAGAGAATTTCAAGAGTAACTCATATAGTATTATAAACATTGCATTTATAATACTAAAAAACCTAACCTAAAAACACCTAAATTAGGCTTTGCTCAAGAAATTTTTAAATTTTATTTCTCACTCAAAAATAGCGTCTAAAATAGTAAATTAATCTATTTCCAACGAAGGATAAATACGAATTAAAAAACATAATATAAGACGTAAACTATTTTGAAACAACCTAATTTTTACTTACGAAACAAACATATGTGCAAAATATCAAATCCTTAATCAAAGTACGTTCTTGAAATTTTTGAAAATGGATTGAGTTAATTCGAAATCAAATATCTGAAACTAAGTTATTAATTTATACTTTTCGTAAATATTTTATGTTTTTTTTAAAACTTTTATATTATAAACTAGCTGAATACATGTTCTTGGAAGGGAGTAAAAAATATACCTACATAAATTAGAATAGAACAACGCAACAAAATAGTGCACAAAACGGTAAGACAAAAACTTACACAGCTAAAATAATTTCAATGTTTTTTGTTTATTATTCGTTAAACTTTAGACTAACTTACGTTTTCAGCTTAACCAAAATACGTATTTAGCAGTTCATCCATCAAAATAAAGGCTAACTGTATTCAGTATCATCTGGCATAATGTTCGAGGCAACTCATTTTATTTATTTATTTAAAAACTCGATATTTAAAAGTTACCACAATCAAGCTAGTTTCACCTGCACTTTTAGCTTCGACGGATCCAAAAACATTTTGCAATGGTTCAGTTCTTATCTCCAAATTCACACTTAAAATACTTTAGTACCTATATAAGAGTATAATTGGTATCTACTGCACCAATTTTCATGATGTGTCTATTACCAAAATTAAGTATTATTGGTGTCAATAAAAGTAAGGCGACTTTTTATACTCCCTTAAACAAATTAGTACCATTTCTCCATTAACTTTACCCTTTCCTTTAGGTATATGTCCTATTTTTTACTTTAATTAGTAATTCTTTTTACCAAAAAAAAATATTATTGTCGTCAATAATAATATTGGCATTTTATTACATTTATCCTCAATGATTTATTTCAACTTCTGCCTTAATTTTACTTTTCGGTACAATAATTTTGTTTAAATATCAATTACCATTTATTTTAAATTATTTAGGTATATGGGAACACTTTTTAAAAGTATAACTATTAAAAAAATTAAACAAGTGGTTTCAAATAACCTTAGGAATGCTAATGACGTAGCTGATGACGTAGTCCACTTATGCAATCACAATCACGTTTTATCAGTCAGATAACCTGTCATAACGATTGAATAATAATTAAATAATACAGAATGCGCTATAACTAACTTTAATAATGAGAGCTATAAACTGACAAACATCATTGATGTTATCTCTAAAATATTTGACAAAACTTAAAAGCAACGATAAAATTCCAGATTTCAAATGCCTCCAAATAAAGAATATAGTTAAAAAATTTATTACTTATTAATATTTATTGACCTTCTCGATAGCTTTGCTTCATTAGATTAAGCAAAACGCATGTTTAGCAGTTCATCCCATTAAAATAAAAATTAACTGCATTCAGTATTATCTGGTAACTCATATTTTAAACTACGCAATCAAACAACTTTTTCCTGTGCTTATATCTTTGAGGAGTCGTAAAAAAAACCTATTTTCACACTATCTATCATTAAAATACTCAGTATTGAAGCAGCTGTAATAGGCACCAAATTTACTCATATAATACTCTGTACCTTTATAAAAGTATATTTAGTACATATTAAAACTGCATCAATTTTTATAAAGCCAGTAGTACGAATGCCAAAAGCTTACTACCAAAATTATGCATTTATAGTATCAATAGTAGTATTTTACCGTACATTTTACCGTTCCAGTAACAAATAAGTTCATTTTCTCCATTAATTTTTTTCTTTTTTAGCAAGTAGAATATTTTTTTTTAAATTTGAATTATCAACTATTACAGAAAATTAGTTCAATGCCAGTGACTTTAATAATAAAGTGATGATTTGTCACACTCTCCCTGTTTAAAGGAATTACGTTTCTCTATTAAAATTTTACTTTTTTGTACAAAGTTTCTTATTTTACTTCATTTCATTACTGTTACCAAAATCAGTTATCTCTGACTTCAATCGTATTATTGGTATTTTTTTAATGTTCATCCTCAAAAAANATATATATACTTTTCCTTAACACACATGCCATCCTATTTTCCCCCTCGTTTAAAAAACAATACTCTAATGCTGTAACTCTTAATAGGTTATAATAAATACTCTTCTGCAATAAATTAAACCTCTTAATGTAAAACAAATTAATGAAAAAATTATGTTTTTTAAAAGCTTATTTTTTAAAATTATTCTTAGGTTCATTATTATTGATAACTTACCAAACAACAGAAAAGGATCCGTTTTTAGGTTCAGTATTCTTAATTTCAAAATTAAGAATACTGATTAAGAATTTTCGAAATTAAGTTATATTTTAAAATAATTTTTATTGAGAATATTTTTTTACTGTAAATATAATTGAAAATTTGATAATGACAGAGGAAAATATTCAGCATTTTTACTCTTTAATCAAATCAGAGTCTCGTCTTTAAATTTTTATTTTATATCCCGCTAGAAATTTCTCGGAAAAATGTTTAGATAACAATTTATTTTATGATATTCAAACAAAACCGTCAAATAACCTTAAATATGATGGTATTAAAACTCTTTGTTATCGTATTGTAAAAAATTTGCCATATACAGATATTCTTTTTATTCAAATAATTTATAAAATTTAGATTGCATGAACAAAATAAGTTTCGTTAAATAAGCATCATTTAATCAGTAAATTTATAAAGCTTTTATTTCTTCGAATTTACTAGTCAAAAATTAATTTTTTACTTCATCCCCTGGGAACATTTTTGCTTGAGCAAAGATTCAAATGTATTTTTAAATGCAACGTTGAACTAATTTTGAATTGTAAAATTATTTGGATGTAAAAAATTACAAATAACATTGCACTTTCAATGATATCGTTACAAAGAATTAACGTGAATTTTTAGATTGTGCAAGTTTGTGAGCACTATTAATTTCAGATACAACTTATTAAGACTTATTCAGGCTCAACTTATTTTTTATATACCATATTAAAGTCGCAACGAATTCGCATTATTTTTCAAAGTATGATTATTATAGTTCAAATTGAATTATTTTTTATTAGAGTGTCACTTTTTTCGTTTATACAGCAAGACTCTCGATATTATTTCTATGGCTGTTTTTCTCATTATGGTTTAAATTATGATTATTATAGTTTAAGTTGAATCAATTTTTCAAAGAGTGTAGCTATCTTCGTTTATGCAGCAAGCCTATCAGTAATATTTGCATAGCCGTTTTTAGCCATTTATCAGTAACATTTGTATAGCCGTTTTTCGCATTATGGTTCTAAGTATGATTGTTACACGAAACACAACTTATTAAGACTTATTCAGACACACTTAATTACTTATGAACCTTATTAAAGTCGCAACGAATTCGCATTACGGTTCAAAGTATAATTATTGTGGTTCAAATTGGATTTTTTTTTATTAGAGTGTAACTTTTTTCGCTTATGCAGCAAGCCTTTAAATAATATATTTGAAGAGCCGTTTTTCGCATTATGGTTTAAAAAATGATTATTATAGTTCAAGTTAGATCAATTTTTCTTATAGACTAGCTATTTTCGTTTATGCCACAAGCCTTTCAGTAATATTTGCATAGCCGTTTTTAGCCATTTATCAGTAACATTTGTATAGCAGTTTTTCGCATTATGGTTCAAAGTAGGATTGTTACACGACACACAAATTATTAAGACTTATTCAGACACAACATATTACTTATGAATTAAAGTCGCAACGAATTCGCATTAAGTTTCAAAGTATAATTATTGTGGTTCAAATTGGATTATTTTTTTATTAGAGTGTAACTTTTTTCGTTTATGCAGCAGGCCTTTAAATAATATATATCGAGCCTTTTTCGCATAATGGTTTAAAAAATTATTATTATAGTTCAGGTTAAATCAATTTTTCTTATAGACTAGCTATTTTCGTTTATGCCACAAGCCTTTCAGTAATATTTGCATTATCCATTTTATTAGCCATTTATCAGTAACATTTGTATAGCCGTTTTTCGCATTATTGTTCAAAGTATGATTATTATAGTTCAAATTGAATCCTGTTTTCTTAAAAGGTAACTTTTTTCGTTTATGCAGCAAGCCTTTAAATAATATATATAGAGCCGTTTTCGCATAATGGTTTAAGAAATGATTATTATAGTTCAAGTTAAATCAATTTTTCTTGTAGAGTAGCTACTTTCGTTAAGCCTTTCAGTAATATTTGTATGGCTTTAGTTAACAGTTTATATTTAAGACTGTGGAAGTAATTTTATTATTAAAATTAGGCTGTAAAAATAATGTGCATAATTTATAAACCTCCAAAGAGTTAAATGATGAAGCATAAAATAATTGGTGAAAATATGTCACGTGATTATGACTTTAGGTCAAAATGACCTTACATTGAACAAACAATTACATACAAAAGTAGCAATCATATGATTATTATTAAAGGATATAACGACCTTCAAAATGAATTTTACCTTCCTTATTGTTCTTTGAATTCCTTAAAGCGAAAATTAAACGCGTTTATTTTCCATTATTTGAAATTTATTTAAGCAAATAGCGTTTTTCAGGAAAATGGATGATATCAACGAAATATATTTAATTCATACGAGGAATCACGTTTTAGGTTGCGATTCTTGTTTCTAGTTTA